ATTAGTACATGCCTTGGATCTATTAATCCAATCATCGGTGTAGTCTGCATTCCCATTTTCAAACATATATGTGTGTGGCAGGCCAAATAAACATATTCGCACCATAAAACTTTTTGATAACTACGTTCATCTTAATAATGTATGTAGATTTAAGAATTAGTACTGTTAAAGGTATGATTGAGTAGTTTTTTTTTTTTTTTTTCAAAAAAATGTTTTTGAGCTTCGATTTATCCAAATCAATGCTATTTTTCCTAAGAATGTTATATAGCTAATTAGCTAGGATAAATTGCCATTATTCGTTCTTTTTTTCATTTATGATTTTTTTTTTTTTTGGGTTCGTTAATTAAGTCAATTTGGAATACTAAATGATTTCATTATGGATATATAACAACTAATTTTCTTTAGCATTCTTTTTATTTTGATCCTTCACCTTATTTCTTTTCAATTGTGCCCTCAATTGAACTTTCTCAGTCTTTTTCTTTTACTTCTTTCAATTCAATCAATTTCGTCCCCAATTAAAATCATTTGCTTCTTATCTTTTTCAATTACCCCCTCGATCTAGCTTCTCTTTAGTTAATGACCAATTTTCTTGCATTCAAACTTACTCAAAAATCAAAATAAAGAATATGTTAATTATAATATTCAAGGTATCTGACTAACCACCTGAGAAACAAAAAGTAGTAACAGACCTGAATTGAGTTTAGTTCATTTTTCAAACCCATTATTGCACAAACCCACTCTACTTGGGCTGCCTACTCGTATAAACCCATTAACGGTGTTAATGGTCTTACTCCTATGGGTTTGAATTGGTTTTAATTTTAAAGGCTTCCTTGCTAAAATGAAAAGAAGTACATCTTGTGTTTTCATATATATATATATATATATATATATATATATATATATATATATATATTATTTTGGCCAATTAAATTCTTGTATTTTTTATTTTAATTAATTAAGGACTGTTTATTAAATAAAAAAAGATACTACTTGGTGGAGTTTTTTTCTCCCTAAATAGGATACTTTTTAATCTATTTTTTTAAAATAAGGTATTTTAAATAAAAGAAGAACATGGCAATTTTTTCATGTGGGCATTAATGTCATTTTTTTTAATTAAGTGTTATAATACATATTTAATATAATAATTTTAAAAAATTAGAAACATAAAAGAAATAATTAACTTACGTTCTATGTCTCTCTTTTGTGGTTTTTGCCCTAATTTCTTAAAGTTTAAATACTTTCACAATTTAAAGTCATAATTACTAAAAATGTTCTTTAACATATGTATATTGTCAATTAATATACTTTTCTAAATTCTTTTATTTTTATTTATTTAATTTGGATAATTTTTTTTTCCGATCCAAAGACGTTCAGAAATCTTTCTTCACGGACTGGAAGTACTAAGCCAGGAGCTGTACATGATTTATTCATGTTCTGCAAATCCATATGACATGTGCCTCAGTCACAACAAGTGCGAACTTCTTTTCATTTTGGAGAGCAAAACATGATAGCCTGCAATGTTGCGTACTTTCTCCATTACAAGCAACTTCTTTGCAACGAATTCTCCCAATTCAACGTGTCCATAGAGTCTGCAAGCCCCAAGAAGTGATCCCCAAATTTCCAACACATTCCCAGCTTCACCCAATTGTTTAACAAACTTGTCATAACCAAAATTTCAGAATTTTTTTTTATTTTTAATTGGTTATTTGCTTTCTTTTATTTTATTTTAAGTTTTTTTCATTTTCTTATCTTAATCGGTGTTATTATTTTTATTTATTCCATTTTACTTAATAATTTGCAAAAAGAAAAAAAAAGAAAATACAAAAATACAAAAATAATGTGAATTTAATATTCGGGGATGCAATTGTATTAAATTCAAAATAATTATAATAATTGAGGGTACAATCGAATCATTTAAAGTTCAAGAGCCAGATTACATTGGACAAGGACCAAGTTGACCTAATAATAATTTATAATGACCAAAATTGCAAAATCACAAAAAAAATCGGAGCAAAGAAAAATTGCAAAATTGCAGAGGAGTGGGCAACCGGTTGCCCACTCTCGCCCGTAACTAGCTTCGGGATTTTGGAAATCCTATTTCCTCTTGAACCAGCTTCGGTTCCAAGTCATCGCAATCCTATTTCATTGGGAACCAATCTTGGTTTCCAGCTTCAACTTTGAATTCCAGTTCCAAGCAGCAATTAATTCCCTCAACTTGCAACTGTCAATCTCCCCTCCATAGTCAACAATCTTGACACCCCCTCTACCCGCTTGCCGCCCACCCTACTCGCTGCAAATTCCAGTAGCTCCATCATCACCCAACTCTCTCCTGCCGACCACCTTGCACGACCCCACAATCTCCACCCTCACCAAGTCAACCCCTAGCGAGCCTCACCATCGCCACGACCTCACAACCACGGTCCCATCTAACCTCTCCCACTTGACACCCATATCCTGCGAACATCCCCTTCCATCATAGTAGGGGAATCAACCAAGCAAACACATTCATATATATATATATATATATATATATGCACAAAAAAGGAAGGGATTCAGATCGAAGATTAGAGAAGATTAGGCGATCCGAAAATTCAAGAAAAATAATCAAAAAAAGAGAGAGAATAAATCGAAAAAAAAAGAGACACAAATTCTACCCGAATTGAAGCTGCAAATCCACCATCTTCACCAATTTTTCGGGGTAATTTCTTGTTTCATCCTATATTTCTTTCTTTTTTTTTTAATTTGGTTCTGAAAGGGTGAAGGGCGTCGTTTCATTTTCCCTCTCCTTAGGGTTTTCCAGCCTTCTCTTCCTTTGTTTATTCTCATCGATTTGTTCTCTTATGATTTTCTAGTGTTTCATTTTTTGTTTTTTTGGTTCTAAAAGGGGCAAGATCGGACACTTTATTTTCAAGAGCTTTCTTTCTTCACCTCAACTTCTTCTCCTCTACTTCTTCCATCTTCTCGCTTCCGCCTCTTTCTTTTTTTTTTTTTTTCCGAAAGGGATAAGAATGCTACATTATTCCTCTCCTCTTAGGGTTTTTCTTCTCCTTTGCTTCTTCATTCTTCACCTCTCGTTTCGTGCTTCTTCTCCTCTCGCTTCGGTCTTTTGTAACGGTAAGTATGCTAAATTAATTTTGTGGCCAATTAATTAGATTACCTCGCTCTTTTCTTTTCTAATTACCTTTAAATTTTCAATCTAATATGCTAACTTAAAGTATGACTCGTATAATGTTTTGAGCTAGCGTTGATTTATTGATTCATTTGCTAATTTAAAGTACGATTTGTACTACGTTTTGAGTGTTTCTAATTTCCTTATCTCGCGCTTCAAGTTTTGATTTTTTATTTTGTAGTTTTAAGTTCCGATTTATATTGGATATCTAATTAATCAGTTTATAAATCTTTTTTTCTTTATTATTATTATTATTTTGATTAATTAGTGTGCTTATATGCATTATAGATGTTTAGTTTGGAATAACTACTTGATGGCTTTGATATGAATGTGCCGTGTTGATAGTTGATATTTCGGATCTAACATCCGAGCAAGTTTGATTTGGATAAGTTGGCTAAGGCTTTGTTAGGCAAACACAAGGATGTTGTGAGGCCTAAGGAGAAAGTGGATTGGTTTACTAAGGCTCCTTACTCGTTATATGTATGAAGATCCGGAGATAATCGATGAGAAGGTTAAGTTAGCAACTCGTGGATGCTTACCTTAGTCTTTTGATGGGTTAGGAGTCGTTTTATAATGTGGCTAATCGTAAGCTTAAAGTTGCTCGTGCTTTAAAGGATAGGATGAAGAAAGAGAGTAAGTATCCGAAGAATATTCAAACGAAACGAAAGCCAAGATTTTATGGAGATCAATGATAATGGACTACATGGTGGATGATACGTATTACTAGTGTAGCTAGCTATCAAGAGGGTTGATGATTGGATATTAATTTAGAGTTTCTGCTTAATTTCTTTAATTTGTTAGTATTAGTGGAGGAATATTTTGGCAAGTGCTGAAATATGGATGATCGGCTACTATCTCTATCTTTGATCAGTCGTATTTCATTTGTAAATGCTAAAAATTAATATGTGATTGATGAAAGAATGCTATGGATTTGGACTTTTACAACTATGAGTGCACGCTTAAATTATGTTGTTCAATGTTTTCATTGACTATGATTCACATGTTAGATTAATATGTACTAATAAAGTATATATCTAGAAGGCAATTTGGAAAAAAGAATGCCATCCAAAGTTCTCTTTTATCACAAGTTCCAATTTGGAAAAGTAGGAACATAACATTTTCGTCTATGCGAGTGCCTTCCGCCATTTTCATTCTTTAACTTCAGCGTTATCACTTTGAACAAGTCCGTGGTTTGGCTATTGCATCCGTGCAGTGGCTGCTCATGTTGTACCCTTATTGCTGAAAAGTTATTCCCGGCTTCATCCGAGCTTTTGGTCGGGTAAGGATTCGGTAGACTTTTGGTACCTACTTCTTCTATAAGCAAAAATTTCAATTTTCTTTTAGTTTCTTATTTTTCTCGCTCTATCATGATTTACTTATTAGACCTTTTTATTTATGTATTCCCAATACCATCACATGCTTACAAAACTATGTATTGCATAGTAGTGCAAACTCTATAGCAAACATGCTCGAGGGTTTTCTCTTCATATCTTCTTGGTCAGCTTTATTTGAATAACTTTTGAAACAACATAATCTCGTTCTTTTGAATAAAAACTCATTACAAAACTATGTATTGCATAGTAGTAAAAACCGTATACTAGGCACATCCTACTCTTTCTTATTTTTTCTCCAACTCTTGTCTCGACACTCAATCCTATGAAACTAACACCTCATCACCACATCCCGAACAAATAACAAAACACAACCCACCAAGCATATACCAAGTTTTTGCACTCTCAAGTTACCAACTTTCCAAGTTTCGAGTAGGAAATTACTAATTAAAGAAAGAGGAAAAAAGATAGAAATCTTATTATAGCAATGGGTGTGGATTATGACAAGATATTGCGGAGTTGACAAGAATGCTAAAGATGATGATCCGAAGAAAGCTTATAAAAAGCTTGCTATGAACCGGCATCCCGATAAGAACCCAAATAATAAGAAAGAAGCCGAGGCAAAATTCAAACAGATCTCCGAAGCTTACGAGGTTTGTATCTATTTTCTATATAATAGTTGTTGATTATTACTCCGGATGGCTTAAGTTCGTTATATTATTATATGTTTACATTGCTTTCTCCATATCGAGTGCTAGTTCTATTCAAGAAGGTCGGATACTAGTCTAGGATGTTGGCAATTAGTTACTTTTCATATTGAAATGGTATTTTAGCATCGGGGGATTACTTAAATCCCATAATTGTTGGCCTTCTTAGGATTGCCCCTCATCAAATTTGCTCTATTTTAACGGTGTATATACAATTCATTGCTTCTCATATTTTGGTCTATTATTAGATCATGCATAACCAAATAGGAACTCAAGTTTTGTATGTTGATCGCCGAACGAGTTCTAAGTGATCCTCAAAAGAGAGCAATATATGATCAATATGGAGAAAAAGGGCTTAAAGGCCGAGTACCACCACTAGATACCGGTGGTCGAGGAGAAGAAACCTTCTTTTCAATCGAAGATAGGCCGATAATGTTCGGATTCAATCGGAGAAATGCCGATAATATTTTTGTCGAATTCTTTGGCTTCTCTAGCCCATTTGGAGGAATGGGAGGTGGTGGTAGCATGAAAGGTGGTTCAAGGTCTTTTGATGGAATGTTTGGAGATGATACTTTTAGTTCCTTTGGCGAGGGACTTCCAATGCATTCATCTCCTCGCAAAGCGCCTCCAAGAGAGAAAACGTTGCCTTGTAGCCTTGAGGAGCTCTATAAGGGAACTACTAAAAAGATGAATTATAAAATCATTGAATGTTGTGTAAGTTATATAATTTTTAGTTCCTTTTTATGTATTTGAAATTTAATAATTACAAATTTAAGAATATTATGTAAATTATATAATTTTTCTTTTATTTGCATTCAACAAGATTAACTTTTTTTAATTTATTTGTTTTTTTTTACCAAAAAAAAACCATTGAATTTGAAGGCGGAAGTTAAACAACCGTCTCTATGAATTATAAAATTCGCTTATATGAATTCTGAAATTTGAGAGGCTTATAACCGTTTCTATAAATTCTATAGTTTGAGGCGGTTAGATAAATTTGAAAGCTTGCGAACATAGAAAACCGCCTCAAAAATTATGCCTCAAATAATTCGTGTGGAATGTAGAGGTGGTTACGAACCGCCTCAAAAAATTACATGCCAAAACTCTCAAAAAATAATATTGGTATCGTAGAGGCGGTTCCAAAAAAATAATTTGAGGCGGTTCTACCAACCACCTCGGAATTCCCCGACGGTTGGCAAAACCACCCCTATACTCGTAGAGATGGCGGCATTGCGGGCGGTTTTAAGGTGGTCTTTAAAACCACCTCTACAATCTGTAGAGGCGAGTATAACCGTCTCTAGAGGACAAAAAACCGCCCGCAATGTTCTTTTTGGTGTAATGTATTCACTACCCATTTTAACAAGCATCCCATAAAGAACATCGACATTCATAAAATCTCCTACACTCGAAAAAATAGGAAAAACGTTGGCAAAACTGATTGGACTCGGCTTTATCCCCGTTTTCATCGTCATCCTAAATAGATTAATTGCTTCTACATGTCTTTCTATCTTTACATACCACGAAACCACATTATTCCAAGCAACAACATCTCTCTTTCTCATCGCATTGAAAACTTTATGAACTAAATCACACTTAGAGTAATCAAAATAACTCACATTGCTTATACAAGTAGAGTACATATTCAAAAGGGAATTATACATAATTCTACTAGGATTCGATAAACATCGAATAAGATGGCAATGAATGGCTTTACCAATCTTTAAACCGTGCATTTTTGTGCAAGCTTTGAATGTAGAACGAGTAAGTATATGAATCAAATTTGGTTCCAAGACTGGAACCTTTTTAGCTTGGAATAGAACAAAATGGCTTCAAAAGGCAAGTTATTGCAAATGAAGCCAATTACGATGGAGTTACAAATGATAGTTGTTGGGGTGGAAAGTGTGTCAAATAGTTGGCGTGCGAGATGGAGTTGCTCTTCTTGACAAAGTATGCTTAATCGAGAGCAAATTGATGGGGTTTTTAAGAGATGGGCTTAGTGGTGGTGAGATTTTAAAGATGGAAACTTTTTTTGGGTTTTATTGGATGGCTCATGGGACGGTGTGGAGAGAGGGATTGGAAGCGAAGATGAAGAAGTGGAGGCTATGGCCATGGATTTTTGTGTCCGGTTGTTATGGTGTTAGTTTTCTATTTGGTGGTTAAATAATAACCAATTAAGAGATTTTCATCTTTCAAGGATTATGATGTTGAGTTGCATTAGGAGAGAAAAATAATAACCATGGTATTGGTCTTCCTATTTACTCGTTTGTTTGTGGTTGTATTTGAAGTGCTCAAAATTAAAAGAAGGGATGATTGAGCAAATGAGAAAATTAATGATATAGATAAAAAAAGTTAGAGAAAGATAAGAAAAGAAGAAGAAGAATAGACCAATATAAACAAAAAATAGTTAAAAAGAAGAGATTAACATGCAATGATAAAACATTTATTTAACAAAATAATTTAAGAGAAAAAAAGACATGTCAATTATATAAATGAGATAGTTCCTATGTGGCATAAAGTACCTTATTTTGATAAATAAGTTTTAAACTACTTTATTATGATAAATAAGATTTAAAAGTGTCTTGTTATGAGAAAAAAAAAAAAAACTCCTACTTGGTAGGTCATTATGATGGAAGTGAGTAATAATATTAACATAAATGAAAAGAAAATTGATAATAATGATTGAAGTGGTGAAAAAACTATTTAATTGCTTAAGACAAATTGTAATTTAGTTCACATTGAAAATACAAGAGATTCTTTCTACTAAATTGATAATAGATGAGCCTTTTTTTTCCAAAATAATTTGAGAAAACTCAAAATGTAAATAATTGTTTGAGGATCAAATCTAAAGAACTCAAATAATTGAGGACCAATTATATTTAGGCCACCATCTATACTAATTATTTATTTTCTTATTTACTTTTCTATAATTAGGTATCTTATTTTCCTAAAGGATTCTCTTGTATTTAGGATTCCTTATTAGCATAGTCTTAAAGTCATTTTCTTGTTTGGATTTGATTTAACTATGCTAAAGGATTTATATTATTGGTCGGATATATCTCCTAAAATGTAGTGATAAAATGTAGTGATATGCTCCCATTTTGGTGTGTTCCCTAGACCACTAGGTATTTAAACTTCTTTTTGTAATTATTTAGACAATTTTGTTGTTTAATTAAAACTAAATAGAGAGATTTTTCTCTTCTTCAAATCATTGTTCTTACGTTGTATAGAATGCATCTTTATACTTGGCACTAATCGCCCAAGGTGGCAACACAATCATCGCTTTTGAAGAATCAAGATGGCGTATATATGTCCTTACTCCCTAGATGTACATATCCCAAATCTCTATAAACTTTACAAGTAGGTTTTGATTCACTATTTATCCTTAATTGAAACTTATTGAATTTGACTTATCTATTGAAAGTTTAGGCTTAGATTTTAGGCGTGAAAGTTGAAGAAACACAAACGTGAAATTTTCTATCAAGAAAATTTATTTGTGTATTCCTTTAATTTTCACTCATAAACCTAATTAAGTTTTTTATTTTTTCAAAAAAAAACAACAACCTAAGTGAATTTAGTTTAGGGTTTTATAGCTAAAAAATATATATTTTTAATTCTTTGTCAAATTTTAAAATGGTAAAATAATTTGAGAAAAAGTTTCTTTCAACAAAAAGAGGGTAAAATTATAATTTTATATCCAAGCATGTCATTAGCTAACGAATAAATTGATAAAAAATTTCCATTTACAGCTTTGAAAACACCGATATACTCAAACGAAAAAAATTAAAGTCGATATACTCGATTGAGGAAAAAAAAAGATAAAATTATAATTTGGCATTTTGAGGGTAACAAGCACATCATTAGTGAACAAAAAAATTGACATAAATACTTTATTGATAATTTTAAAAAGTTGGTGTATTAAAAAGAAATTTGTGTACTCGATTGAGAAAAAAATTAAGAAATTATGTATTTGTAGTGCAATTATCCCGATAATAGAATGATGATGTGTTGTGCTGATGAGGTAGTAGTAGTGATAAGGTTGAGGGTAGCGAGTGGTTTTTTTTTTTCTTTTTTGGTGTGGGGATGGGGGGATAATGGTAGTGGTGGAGTCCATATTTGGATGTTATTATTAGTAAATTATTGTTGTAAAATATTTTATAAAACTTTATGAGTTGAAATTATTTTACAATAGAAAAACTAATTTTAATAATTGATCAAGCTAATTTTTGTATAAAATCTTTTACAGGAAACAAATAGAAAAACATCAAGAAAACATATTTTATGCAAAACAAAATCCTCTTAAATTTCAAGTTATTTGATGATCTTGAAAGAAAAAAAAGCCTAATAGACTTTAAACCTAAATATTAGTATTGCTCATGTTGGGATTGTTTGAAGCAAAATATGCCCAAACAAGTTAAGTTAGCCCAACCTTTTTTTTTTTTTTTTGTCTATTAAAAAAAATATTATTCTCACTCGAAGTTATTAATCTCATTTCATAATTTAATTTTATTATTTAGATAGACCAAAATACAAGAAATTTAATATTAATCAAATAGTAGCTACCAATACTTGTTTATAATAGAGAGATAAACACAAAGAGGAGAGAGAAAATTATAAAAAAATTAAGTCTAGATGAAAATATTCTTATTATTTTTAATGGGTCTAGATGTGAATGAAAAATTATTTAACTATCTAGATTTTTATTTTAATGAAATTATAATTAATTTGTATAATTTTTAAATAGAAAATCAACTATTTTAATTCAGAATTATTAAAATTTAAATAAATAATTTAAATGTGAAATAGAAAACATTTATTTTAATTTAGTAAATATTTTGATTTTACTTAAAAAAATTATTAAATTTTAACTCCAAACATTAATTAGGATGATTTTTTGTTTTGCATAAAATATTTTATAAATAAAAAATATTTAAAATATCTTCTCGCATGCGAATATTTTTTATTTATGATAATTGGTAAGTAATGAGGTTAAATCTTTGGTAATAGTAGAATGATAATGTGTTATGGTAATGAAGTAGTAATAGTGATTGAGGGTGTAGATAGGATGGGAAGGGGGAGTAGTGGTAGTAGTGAAAGTAGAAATGGAGTCGTGACAATGTTTAAAGAGATGGTTGCATGATGGTAAGGTTGTGGTGACGTGGTGGTGGTAGTTGAAATATTTGATGGTATTGTGAACAAATCTCGGTTTACAAAATATTTTATAAAATTTTATGAGTTGACAATATTTTACAACAGATAAATTATGTTTAAAAATTTAATGTAAAACATTTAAAAACAAAAAACAAAATACACTCCAGCTGAAAACATAACATTAGCATCACTCATGCTGGGCTTGCATGAAACAAAACAAAATACGCTTCGAAAAGAAAATGAAGGAAAAAAAAAAAAAAAAAAGAAAGAAAGAAGAAGGATGACGTCATTTTCACTTTTGAAAATTGTTGCCACCACCCTATAATCTACTTTTATTGTTTAGATAGACCAAAAGACCTTTAATTAGATTTTATTTTATTTATTTATTTTATTTATTTATTTATTTTTTTATTTTTGACAATTGAAGTTAATAGGATTTCCCTTTCCATTTTTATTCATTGTTTCCAAGTTAGCAAGCAAGCAGGGGTCGGTGCCAAATCAGCAGCAGCTGGAATCCATTCATAAGTTTGTGGGTTTCCTTTGCATTTAAGACTTAAGAGGCATGGCAACTTCTTTGCTATAGAATCTGGTGCTATATAGGCTGAAGGAGGCATTTCGATTTTGTAGATATAAATTGGGGCGTTTGGCAAAACTTGATTTCAAGCTTATCAATTTCTATTTTGTTCATTATTTAGATTACTTTTAATAGTTATCGAGTCAATTATGTTTGGACTTGGAAGGTTTCCTTACTCTCTACTGTTATTTTTCTTGTTCAAACTTTAATTTTATTCATATTTTAGCTATCTCCTTGGGCTGTGTATTGATGTTGTTTTCTTACTGTTACCGAACATAACTGCTGAAGAATATGGCTGATGGTGATGGGTGCAGGAATGGCTCTTTCCTTGCAACGCTACACTTGGTCAAGTTTCCATTACGGCTTAAATCGCATTTTAAGAGAAAGGTGAGATTTTTTATATTTCTTTTAGGGTTGTCATCTTTTTCATTTTTTACGTCAAGCTGATTTTTTTTTATATATATATATCTTTAAATTTTTAGAAGTGAAAAGGAGCATGAGAAATCAATGGTAATTGCAATTCAAAACATTGTCCGAAAAGAATATGACTGATGGTGATGGGTGCAGGAATGGAGATCTTTTGAGTGAAGATGTGATAATCGAGATTTTGTCTTGGCTGCCTGTGAAAACTCTGTTGCAATTCAAAAGTGTTTGCAAATCATGGCATGCTATTATTACAAGTTCCAAATTCACATTCAAGCATCTGGAAAATTACTACAGCAACAGTGACAGTAACTGTCTCCTTACTCAATGTTACGTAAATCATGCTGAACTTGAACTTCGCGAGTTGTATCATCTGAATCACTACATAGTATGCCGGTGAAAAGGTCACATATTTGTGGTCCTTGTGAAGGAATATATTATCTATGGGACTATGATCATCGTGCTTTGTGGAATCCTGCAATCAATGAATTGAGATTTCTACCTGCATTAATAACTAAGCCTGATCTTCCATCTGATTTGAGTTATTTTTGGTTCGATAATTATGGATTTGGATTAGATCCAATAACTAAAGATTACAAGGTGATTGTTATTAATGGATATGGCAGTGATGAAGAAGGAGGTAAGGACTTCAGGTATCCTTTGTCAGTCCTTGTGTACTTATTAGCTACTCATTCTTGGAGATATTGTGGAGATTTGACACAATGTTATTACTTACAAAACAATGGATGCTACATTTTTGTGAATGGAATTACTTACTGGTTGGGATCATGTGAAGAAGATAAAAATTATGAAGTGATCATTTGTTTTGACATGGCTAGTGATGAGTTTCAAGAGATGCAGGTACCAAATTATGAGAAACCAGCTTTAAAAAATCTTATAGTATACCAGTTTTCGATATATGGACAATGAATGAGGGGTGTTGGTCCAAAAGAATTACTATGGGTCCTTTTGCAGATGTTCCCATACAGAAACAGA